AACTAATCGTAAATTTTTGTAAGTTTATGCTCGCGTAAAAACTTGCGGAGGTTTACGCCTATTTATTTTTGCTGATGAACTATGTAGATTTTTACTAAATTCAATACATTTCAATTCAAAATAAGCATTTATTTAAAAAAATTTTTTTTAAAATAAAAAAAAAATTTTTTCTTAATCTAGTATGTAGGCTTTTCAAAATCGAGATTATCAAGAGATCGCCCTAATTTGACGCACTTACAATAAAAGGGAGTAATTTTATATTTTATCTTTCTCTAGCCATTTTAAATTTTTTATACGTTGGTTTTCTGCTCTAATATGTTCCATATTTTCCTTTTTTTGCCTCTGGGCTTCCTGCCTCTGTACTTTTTCTTCTTCACATACTTTCCGTTTTTGGATAGCCATTTTTTTTTTACGCTGTTTCTTGTTTGCTATTTCTTCTACTTTCTTCTCCGCTTTTTTTAACTGTTGCAGTGATCTTTTATTTGTTAGAAGCTAGGAGAAAGGCATTGTCTTTCTCTTTTTTCTTTGAGGTTGGAAGCTAGTTTGCTCCTTGTCAATCTGATCTTTGGTTTGTGAAATATGATATAGAGGATATTTAAGTATCAACTGCAAAGAGTTTGTACCAGGGTTTTTGAGAGTTTCAACCTCTTTTTCTAGTTGTTCAACTCTTTCATTTAGTAACTTAAGTTCTGAAATAAGCTCTTTTTTTGTAGAGTTAGCTTTAGTAAGGCAAATAGGACTTTAAATGAGCTTCAAAGAAGACGATCGTGATGATGATGATGACGATTGTAAAGATGAAGACAATGATTGTGAAGATGAAAACAACGATTGTAAAGATAAAGAAGACGGTTGTGAAGATGAAGATGGTTGTAAAGGTAAAGAAGATTGTTGTGATGATGAAAAAGAAGGTAAAGAGAAAGAAAGTTGCTGCTTAGGGATATAGGTACACTTTGTTGCCAATGAGGGATCTAGACAGTCAGGGTCAATTGCACTAGGGTTGAATGGCCAAATTCCCATGGCCCTGAAAGCATTGCATATTGTTATAGATGTATAGGTTGCAATATAAGACAGCCCCAACACTTCAGCAAAAGTATGTTTTGTTACACGTTTACCATTGCAATCAATTCGAAACTTTTCACACTCTTTATCATATCCTCTCTTTAGTGTAGCAAATGGTAATTCGGCTGGTTGTAAAATGTGAGTAGTATGAGGCGAAAGAGTATATAAAAGGATTTTATGCTTATAACAATAATTAACACTAGTGTAATTAATATGACTTTTATGACTGTCTAGAATTAACAACACAGGACTTGCAGGTGGGACAGAACTAACAAAATGTTTAATATATTTTTAAAACAGGCTTTCTCATATATAGCCTGTCTCAGTAAATCCCATAACGGAACCAGCAGGGGCACCATTTAAAAGGCCTAAGATCATTCATTTTCCTTTAAAGACGAATAATGGTGGGATATATGTTCTGGTGGCTGATATGGTTGGGTATACAGAAATATACTCATGGGAGCTACTATTTGAAACATGATGGACTTGTCAAGCCTCTTTTTTGGCTACAACTTTTTGAAGCCTAGACTCAATTACAAACCCCATTTCATCCTTAAAAAAAATAATAAGAATAAAATAAAAAAAAAATAAAAAAAAATAAAATAAAAAAAAAAGAACAAAAGAAGAACCATGTTCCAAATTCGATTGGCCGTAAGTGAATATTCATGGATAATTTTTTTAAGTTTATCAAAATGATCATTAACGATAACGGGTTTGCTTTTTGTGCACGAGCTTCGTTTAGAGCTTGTGGAATACGAAATAAAAGTTTAGAATAATCTCTTATGAAGCGTTTCCACCATTTTTGTCCTGGTCCATTCTCACTGAAAGGATTGGGTTGCCCGCTACAACGAACAATATCCGTAACGCACTGGCTTATGCCAGACCTTGTCAATCCAAAACTAAGCTTCTGCATGTTCAAGCAGTAGCCCACAAGCTGTTCTTCTTTGTGGATTGTTAAAATTGTAGCATGCCCGAGACAAGTGGGGGGCTATCATTTTTGATAGCGTGTCTAAGGGTAGCTTCTGAGAAATCATAGTCTTGTGCAATACTTCTAACACTAGGAGCTTTAGAATCATTTTGGGTATCTTTTATTGCTTTAAGAGCATTATTAATGGCATTATATCTAGTATTGTAATCGCTGTACTTGGTCATAATTTTATTTAAAATTTTGATTGTAATAAATTTTCTCTTTACTTCTATCACGGTTTAATTTTTTTATTCTATCAGTTTTATTTATTTAAAAGATATTTTAAGATTACAATATGGCATTACATAGTTTTTATCTGTAAATATTTACGATCAATCAAAATTCGTGTCTTTTTTTTGAGTTAGTGAGATCGCGAAATTTACTTGTGCCATTTAAATATGCTTTCTTATAAATGCTTATGTCTTGTTAAACAAAAATTAATATAAATCATTGCAATTTTAATGTTATACAAGGATTATTAATAGAAATAACTTTGCCAAACGTATTAATATCAGTTTTTTTGGTATAAAAGACCGATTTTAGTGTGTTGCGGTTACTTTTTGCTTAACATTCCAAGTGAAAAAATTAATGTAGATCAATTAAATCGATTAAATAGTGATATCTCGCAGTGATCAGATTTATGTGATTTCGGTACTGTTCGACTCATCTCGTTGAGACGAGTCAAACAGTGCCGAAATCACGTGAATCTGATCACTAAAATATGAAATATCGTAACTGCATCAAATTGGGAACTGCGTCAAATTGGGAACTGCGTCAAATTAGGAATGCCTACCTTATATAGTACAAATATATATATTCAAAATACTAAATTCTAACTTTAAAGAGCTATTTTATAATACAAACTTTCTTATCTTAACACTAACCATTAGAGTTTCAATCTGTTAAGGATAATTATCAAATATCCGGATCTGAATTTATTCAGATATTCATTTACTATTGATATCTGAGTGATCTGAATTATCTAGATAATTCAGATACAGATGATGAATTTATTCAGATTGGAACTATATTAACCATAAAGAGATGTTAGAATAATTTTAGAATACAAACTTTCTCATCCTGACACTAACTGTAAAAAGCTGTTAGAATGATTAATTTGCTTTATTTACTATATTTACTATTTTTTTTTACTAGCTTCAAAATTTACAATTTTATGGTCAATCAATGATTTTTCCAGATTGAAATTTGAATTTACCCAAATTTAATCTGGATAGTTCTAAAAAAATAGTATCAAAACTCTAGTTTTTACAATAATAATATGCGAATATTGTACATAGGATTCATAAAATTTAATTGTCTTTCTAATTCAGTAATTGAAGGAGTGATTAACTTCAAAAATTTTATAATTGTCTACATAACCCGGATAAATATCTAACCTGTCCGAGTTACTATTTTCTGATCCAGGTTAAAGCTCTACATTGTTGAGTCAAGTCTTCATTGTATTGTGTTTGGTGATTTATTTGTTGTTGGTCGTCGCGTTGTATTTGGTATCGTGTTGTATTTGGTAATTTGTTTGTTGTTGGTATTATCTCAGGTATTTTGTTCTTTATTGGTGTCATCTCGGGCATTATGTGTTCTTCATTGGTATAATCTCGAGTATTTTGTTTTTCGTTGGTATCATTGTGTAGCATTTGATGCTTGTTGTGTCATTTACTTTTTTAGTATTTTCTTCGTGTATTATTTAATTGAGAAGAGTGCTTAAGAATGCTTTTAGTAAGAAGCAATGATTATGGTGAGTATTAACACAATGCAAAACTCATTTGAGAGTACAAGTGGTGTACTGGTATTATTTTAGTAAAAGCACTGCAAGTAGACTGCCTAGCTGCGAGCGAAAGTGAGCAATATAGGCAACTAAAAGAGTATGGTTTAAATAACAATAAATAAAAATAAATTCTATAACTATATTATTTAATGAAATTATATATTGTCATTATTTTAAATAAATAAATTAAAATTTTGGTTATACAAAAGGGTGGTGATGATCACTACTACATCAGCAAATTTAATAGGGCGTAATATTGCGCAATAATTTATGAAGCGTAAGAAAACCGTAATATTACGTAAT